GTGTTTTTATTATTCCTTGATTTACCGGGTGCGGTTGAATGACCCACCTTCTTCTTCCCGCATAGATAGCAGAGCACGACGTGCATGCGCCAGGCTAACCAGGGACGTCAAGGGTCCGCTTCTTCTCCGCGAGTGTGTTTCCTACCGTAAGCTCGGCAGCATCGCTATCTTTTGACAGTCCCTCTCATCAGCTCTACAGATTGCTGAATACATCGGCTTCTTTTTTTTGGCTCTGCTCCAAGAACGAAACAATTTTACTGCTTTTTCTCAGAAGTTTCCTATAGGCGCATTGAAGCCGTAAAACTTGAACGCCGTGGTGTTTTCCTGCATGGTTGGAAGCGCCTACCTTTGCCGACGTTCCTCAGGAGAGCGACGGTCTTTGCCACCCGTGAACGCGCTTGTCAGCGGGGCGGGTGCGAGAAAACGAAAACAAAAATGGAACATGTCGCATAGTATAATCTATATATAATCTATATATATACACTTGTAGGTCTCTCACTGTTTGTGTACGAGTTAGCTCTACGGCTGCGACATCACCACAGCGTTGGAGTCACAAAGCAGAGTCCGTTTCTTTCGTGTCCATCTCTGAAACCGTCGGCTGCTGCTGCCATCCGCGTTGTTCATCCACATTTTTATGTGGTACTACAGTAGATACCAATTCGGTGCGTCAGGCTGGTACGGTATTTCTAGTTGCCGACTCCTGCGACTGCTGACTGCTGTTTCTTGGGCAGAGCGATGCGCAACTACGGGTAGACGGGTAGAGTCTCCCCGCTTCGCTTGGGTTCGGCACATTGCATTTGTCTATATATTCCGTTGCTAAGCACATTTATGTAAAATCAGGAAGTATGTACCTGGCTGATGAAGTCGTACGGCTAAATAGCAAAAAAAAAAAACCTTCGTTGTTCAATGACCGGAAGTGTGCAAGATTTTGGAGGCGAGAGCAACGTGCCTTTTATCCTTTTATCCGGCGGAAGTGACCTGCTGCTTGCTTAAATCGCCCTTTCAAAAGTCGTTGCGTGTTTCTTGTTATTTTTACAATGGCACTCGGGAGTTTTTTTTTTCGATTTACGGGATCACACACCTTTTGGGGAAAACGGCATTCGGAAAAATGCGAGGACAAACTAGGATAATGTAAGTACTCATCGAGATGCATCGTCGTTCACGGCCGCCTAGGGAAATGCGTGTCGTTCTCGCGGTAAAAAAGATTGACGCAGACTCTGCAGGAGGGCGGAAATATTGTAGAACTCAGCACCTACTACATGCAGCACTCTAACGGTTTGATTCGGCTTCTGCAACGAGAACTAAGTCCTGCGTGAGCGTCTATGATCCTGCGGCGCCCGTGGTGACACGTTCGCGTGTTGTACCGGGAGGTGCGGTCTTACGGTCCGAGTTGATGATAGCAACACCCAAAACTCTGGACTTAATGTGGGTAGCTAAACCAGGACTGTGTCCTGTGGTCGGCTTGCCTGATCCACGACGAAGTCGAAACACGTTAATATTTTCTCACTTGAACGCGTTTTTTTACCCCTCAAGCAACCGATTTAGGCCAACGTAGAAAGAAAAATGCCCTTCTAGATTAGTGAAGAACGGGGGAAACACGCCAACGAGCGCCTCGAACTAAAAAGGGTCCGGAGCTCATGAGGGATAACAGGAAGGCCTCCGAAAAGGGACCAACAGGGACCGAAACGAGACTATGACAGCCAGCCACAGTTCCGGTGTGGTACACAACCCCGACAGAAGCTTGAACCTTACCTTCGGGCAAAGGGGGCCTGGGCTGGCCAGATTCAAGGGAGGAGGAGGCGTGCACGGACCGTCGTACGAAAAGGGGGGGAAACATGCAGTATGGATGCGAAAGGCGAAAGCATAATAAAGGATACCGCTGTACGAAGGATGTGCCCCCACTGCGGCGAGGTACTGCTGTAGAGGAAGGTATCGCTCTCTCTCGTGGTCGTCAGAGAATGTGAACGTGTTTCGAATGTCAAGATGGAGGTATGCATACATACCCATTGTCCACGGGGACGTGAGGAAAGTGCCGCGCGAGGTCTTGACGGCATGGTACATGCATATAGAAGGATGCGGTGTCGTGAGCCCAACGTTTGTTGCTTTCCAGCGACAGAAAGGTGGCGGCCACAGCGGGCGAATGAACGAGGATGTGGGGCTGGTAGCGAAGCACGTCCGGTGCGCTCGGTGTGTTAATACACGAAAGAGCCGCTATGTACGCGTGTTGAAGGTGTCTCTCAAGTATACCTGCCGTCGGCAGCAGCAAGCGGCGGGTGCTCCGTCTCGAGAGAGAGATACGAGATGCGTGGTCAACGGTTGGTTGTCTAGCGCAATCACCGGTTGTCTGACTCAAGGCAAGCAAAGTAGCTCCCGCTCACAATCCGCACGTCCTTCCGCGCCCCTTTCTCTCCCCCCCCCACATCCCTCCACCCTGCGGTCAAGATCTGCGAATTTCATGACTACGGCATGCTTCACTCTTCGTAGCCCCCGTTGAAATACGAAGACTAACGACATGCGGTGAATTTTCGTCGCCCCCCCCAGTCGAAATTAAAGACTACGATATGCTTGTCTTTTTGCACACCCCCCCCCCCCCTTTTCC